TCCCGCAGTCACCATCCCGCAGTCCAGGGAGAACCAGGACCAGGACAAAGGCCGCGGATGGTGACGATGCCAGCTTCCTCCCACAGTCAGACATGACGTGGGGGAAGCCCAGGGGCCCTCGGACCCTCGAGCGTGAAGTGCCTACCCACTGCCCCCCAGCGGAGGGACTGGGTGCATGTCACGCTGACCACGCCAGCCCACATCCCCTAGGCCCGTTACCTTGGGTCGGAGGCAGGTGGGGCCCAGCGGCTCCTTACAGCCAATCCAGGCCGAGGACGCCGTAAGCCAGGCAGCTCTAGCCTGGGGGTGGGCGGCCAGGCCGGCAGGGCACATCTGTCTGATGGAGCAACAGCCCCAGGCCGGACACGTGAGACCTGGGCTGGGCCAGAAACGTGGCCGGACGCAGTGTCTTCCAACTCCACGGCTGTCACACAAGCTACACTCCAGCCCATGCCTGCCTGGGCCCACACTCCATGCAAACCATGCAAGACTCCACGCTAGACTCAAAGTGGGCCCTTTCCTGACCGTCCGCAAGTGACGCCGTTTCTGCCACAGCAGACCCGAACGAGCTTGCGTGCAGAGAGGCCAGGCCTGGCCAGTCGAGCTGTATTGCGTGCATGTGTGCGGCACATGTGCACACATGTGCGTGTTATGTGCACACATGCTCATGTGACCAGCTTGCCTGCAGACGTGTTGCTTACCTGGGGCAGCAAGCCCACAAGTGCGTAAAAAGGGCTCACTGCCGTCCCGAGCCTTGCTACCAAGGACGGCACAGCACAGCAAAACTTTGGAGGAAAACGCATCCGACAGTCACAGCACACGGGCCGCGCCCTCCGGCACGCCCATCCCGTTACCTAGCGTGGCGCTAACGGTGCCTCGGCCGCGGCAAGGGGTCCCTCAGCAGTGGCCCGTCTCCGCTCGGCGCGGCCCCGGCCGGTGCCTTGTGCCTGGCACTCCGCTGCAAGGTGAGGGGAGACATGAGCGGGTGCGGGGCGGTGGGC